GAAATAAGTAGGTAATAAATTAAACAAATTTTGTTACTAAATTCCTCTAATAATTTAATTTTTTCTGACTCATTGATAATGACAATTCAAATATAGGGTAGTTAGTAGTTGGGGGAAAAACACGCAGTTTAGTTATCTTTTGTCGCCTTCAAAAATTATAAAAGTTTAGAAATTTTCCAATGTTATTGTTCTTAGTACAGTTCTAGATATAAGTTCATTATTAAATGAAAAAAAAAGTTTTTAAAAATCTTCATTTGCGTACTCTTATCCCTACAAATGGGACAGTAGTACACAAGTGCGTATTTTTGCCCCAAAACTAAAATGTATAAAACTTCAAATAAAAGAGATGGTAGGCATTTAAAAGAAACCAATCTTTATTGAAAAAAAAAAACCAAACGTAAAATACAAAACGTTAATCTAAAAGAAAACTGTATTTGGTGAGATCGTTAGAGAATCCTACTGAATCTGAAAGAGTTAGTTTTTATTGGCTTTGAAAGTTTTAAAACAATATCGTCCTTTCGAAAAAGGCATCTTTTGTTGTCTGACGAAAACGAATAAAGTTGTGGGCAGTAGCTTAAAAAATACTCCTTTATAATCATCATCATTTACTTAGACTTTGGCGACAAATAATCAGTATGTATGAAAATCATCAGGTAAAATATTTAGTACATCAACGTCTTGCTCTTCATCGTTATCGGAAAAATGAATGTCACAGGAATCTATACTTTCTTGATAGGAGAGTGCTACTGATTTATCATTGATGATTCGTCGAAAACTTTTTTTTTGGTAGCAAGAACTTTAGCAGTTTGAGATTTGATCTTTTGATTCGTTAGTAATGCTTTCCCCTCCTTCTCTTTTTCTTGCTTCCTTCTTTTCTTCTTGTTCTTTTAAAAGTTGCTCCTTATTGGTTGTCGATGGTAGTAGGGTTGATTTCAAACTTTTTCTGGTTCGTTTCCTCTTTATCTAAATTTTTGGGAAGGAAATAATGTCTGAAGGTGAAATTACTGACTGTTCTGATTTTGACAAAGGCTAGGGCTCTAGCGCATCGGTAACAAGTTCTTCTTCTTCTTGCTAAAACTGGATAAAAACATTACTTTCATCGTCTAAATCTTGCTCGTTACTTCCGCTGGCATAAAATCTACGTCCGAAAAAATATTTTTATCTAGTGAATAGATTCCTGTAGACCGAAAGCCCTCTTTTGCTATATCTACAGTAGCAGTTTTTGCAAATGCTATGGAAAAGAGACCAGTCACATGGTAAAAAAAAGAACCTGTCCTGGATGAGAACTGGTCCAGCTGTTAGCGAAGCCCTTATAACAAGCTTCTAATGGTTTGAAAAATGCCCGATCGAGTGGCTGAGCCTTATGGCTGCTATGTGGTGGCAGACTTAATAAATGGATGAAATTATCTTTTGCAAATGTTACTGCTTGAAGACATGTGTGTTAAATAAATACTCGTTAATAAGGAACAAACCTGTCTATGGTTGACAGCAGGATTGATGTATGTCAATGTCAACGTTTTCAAGATGGTATCACAGAATAATAAACAATCAGAAGGGCCACTCTCAGATGCCGCCTTTGAAGTTTTTCAGCACGCGCGCCATGTTTTAGGAGGACACAGACATATGATTTGTGTGGTTATGTAATTGTTTATATTCAATGACGTATAATATATAGACTACGCAGTCCCCTATTCTCGCTATAGAATCGAGTGTCCGAAAGATCTCGGCTCAAGGTTGAAGGTATGTTTATCAGAACAGCGGCGTGCTCATTTATATGTTAATGACAATAATTATTTTTTTAATTAAAATTAAATATTTATGATTTCTTTTTGTTCCCGTTTATAAGAGAACTAATTATTTTGATAAAATAGTATGGCATTGTACTAAAATAGTAAGTAAATAACTCTCAACAATTTAAAATAAAATTTGCTTGTCACACAAAATGGAGAAAATGTTTTCATACGGCTATGATGTTTTCAAACACAAGATCAACTTCGTGATGCTTCGTAAGAAATCATGAACTTCGTGCATCTTCGTATCAAAACAATAAACAATAACAAAGGTATTCATGTTTTGGACACTTTTTAAAGCGTTCACCGAGTCTATATATTATACGTCATTGTTTATATTTATGTTTAATTATATTATAAATATTTATGTTATATAGACCATCGTCTTGTGACACGGGCGCAATTATATTGCTCGCATAAATTATCCACCACATCTATTTCACTCTTCGTCTCATTATGTGTAATTATTATCTCAGGTTTATTTGTGGTTGAAATATGAACGTGATTCCGTCGTAAAAACCAAACATTGAAGAGCCAATGCACCGGCCATTATTTTGTACAAATTCTAATGGCAACTATTTTTTATTTTTTCAAATTGGACCCACTAAAGTTATTTTTTTTATTTAAGGCTGTCAGCTAGAGGGACACTATAAAACCAATTATCCATAATTTTCCCGTTAGAAGTGTGAGCCAGCCGTATGGCTAAATCTGGATAATACTAATTGATGTGCTGATAGCTAACAACAATAATCTGCGTGTAAAATGCAATGAAAAGATCGTCAAGTACCTACAGAGATGGGGAAATTCCAATACGAAAACAATGGAGAATGGAAAATTCTCCGATAATACCTCTTATTCTCTCTACTATTGTGGTCATTTCGAAGAACCTCCTAGAAACTATAAAAAGCTAGTTCTAAATAAACATCTCTATATGATCATCCTGAAAGCTGTACTACTCTCTACGTCTAGATCTGTACGAAAATTTTTATAAGACACTCCAGCATACCAAGGTACCTAGGGCTGGATAACATGGAAATTGTCCCACCAGAGCTCAATCCTTGTAATACCGTAGGTATCTGGGATGAGTGATTTTTCCCTTAGAGGGAGTGAAAGTCGTATGGCTACATCTGGATAATATACTCGGCTCGCTATTCCCAGTCCGAACTGTCTAGTGAATTTAGTAATTATTTTTTTGCGAAGTTAGTTACTTTTTGACAGACTAAAAGTGGCTGGAAATTACTATACAACCAAGCACACGTACTCATAGCCAATATTAATAGTAAACAAACTAAAAAGTAAATAAAATATAACTTTGCGAATTACTGACAATGAATATTTATTTATCTGCACCATATAATAAATAGTTATGTTAAATTATAACAACTAAAATACATTTTTTAAATATATACTACCCAAAATTTGATGGATTTAGTATACACTTCTACTATTTAGAATAATTCTTCTTTTTTTCAAAGAAAGAAGTCTGCAATAGTAGAATACTTGAGCTATTAATACTGAGAAGTAGGAATTGTTGTGTTGTAGGTTTCCGACAATGAATCTGTCAAAATATGCCCGAGCTAAGCGAATGGAGTATAATAATAATAATCATGAAGGCGTAAAAATTTAGGCAATACAAAAGTAGACATATATTTTTTTAATTTTACATACACAAATTAAATCATTTCATATTTTATCTACTTAGTTTATAAGAACATATTGATAATGGTTAAAAAATTAAAAAAGTAGTAAAAGTAAAAAAAATTAAAAAAGCTCTGCTCTTAGAGTTTTATATAGAGAAATTGAATTTTCATTGAAAAAAAAAAACACAATATTTATCAGCAAGAATGAGTAGGTAACATTTGTTATGCTCACATTTTTTAAATAAGCTTTAGGAAAGCGAGATTTTTAATCTACGATAATGTTATTCATTATCGAAATGTATATAAATTCTCGAAAATAGTTTTGAGGATTTTCACATGGATAAATTGGCCGATTTCACTGTTTTTGTGCTAGTCGAAGAAGTTTTATTTCTATACCTACCGTGTTCATCCGCAATGCCACAAATTTCATCATATAACCTTAAAAACATTTCATTACATCTTTCTCGCTTTCGATTCAAAATCTTTCAAACATCATTAAGCATATCACGTGCTCATTTTAAATCGATTTTTGAAAAATATGACTTACTGGCAAAGTGCAAGCGGATAAGTAGTCGTCATAAAAAAGTCGGTTTCAGATATAGCAATATCTTGAGCCTTTGCAGCGGTCTGTAGGTCACTCCAATAAGATAGAGTGTCAAGGTATTTGTGAATTATTGGCAGTGATTCTCGAAATTGAAGTATTCTTTTGTGACGTTCAACACATCTCGTCTCGCACAAACCACTAAGTTGATTTACCATAATATTTTTAAGAACTGCATTGCGTTTTGACGAAACTTCGAAAAAATATATTAGTTCTTTCATTGTTTCAATTGCATTTCTCACATATTGAACTGAACAAGATTTAACTATTAAAATATTTAAATATGATTGAAGCATGGCGAATACACACCATTAATAGCTTCATTTTTGAAGGTAATTTGCACCAACAGTTTCAAAAATCATTACAGAGCAGCTTACTTACATCTGTAGTCAAGCCTATGCAATACTTAATATCTAAAGTTGCTTTTTTCAAAAGTTTTTAATATAACTTGAGCTAAGTTTGAAAAAATTAAATCACTCTGTTTTAAGAAGGGGGCGAACGTACCCCTTGGTTCCACCTATGGTGTGATCAAATCAAATCAAATATGTGAAATCAAATTTTAATACTCTCATTTGGGACAACTTACAAAAATTAAAATTTTATAAAGAGGTATCCTGAACTTAGCTTGAGATGCCCAGAACGGAAAGTTCGAGCCGTGGCTTGAGCTCGAAGATTTAACATACCTTAAGTTGAAAACCTTTAACCTTTAACATACCTTTTTTTTAAACCTAAGAAAGTAATTGAAACAAATATAAAATTACTCTAGACAATATTTATAACGTGGACGAAACAGGCAATAAATCATCGGCATAAAGTCGTCCAAAAATAATTTGGTTCACAGAAAAAAAAAACAAGTTGGTTCTATATCATCTACCAAAAGAGGCACATCAAAAAATAACGTCACATATTAAGTTATGGATAGCAATAAAGGAGTGGTAAATGGTCAATATAAATTTATTAAAAAATATTTTATTTCAGGTTAACTCTGATTTTGTGGAAGGCTGTACATGCCACACCTCGGATGTTGTAGATGTGTTCCCAGTTTTCGGGTTGGACATTACATGCGGAGTCAGTAGCTTTCACCCATATTTCAATCTAAAACAAATACAATAACTATTTTTATGGAAGAAAGAATTACTTCATAAAGGCTATAGTAAAGTTTTCATTCTCATATTTTGACAAAAATTCCCTACAGTTTAGTGTAGTTTACTATACTGTTATGTGAAATGATGCTCTTAGATTTTGTTTATATATATATATATATATATATATATATATATATATATATATATATATACATACACCTTATACTTTATTTAGTCACATTATAGGGTAACAAAACTGCGGAGTTTGAAGTTTGAACCTTATAGAAAAAGAGGAAGTTTGAAAATTTATTCGAAAGAGTTTTGATTTTAAGGTATTTTGAAATGTAAATATATAAATATGTAAATATAGTATCAGTTCATAACATATTTAGGTATATCATCTGGATGTTTTAAAAGTATATTTTACGAAAAACAATTTTTCAAAACAACAGCCAATATAAATTATAAAACGGCCAACAGAATTCATTATATTTACTCCAAATGTTGATTATCTTTAAAAATTATTTCGAATAGAGTATGTTTCAAATGTAGTGGCTGAAATTTCTAGGAACAGTAAAGCCTCACCAAACAAAGCAGTGGCGTTCCAAAAAATACTTGATTGTTTTAAATGATTTAAATCAAATTCTCAAAAATAGGTACACACAATTTAATAAACAATGATATTTGATTATATTTTTGGGAATATTGTACTACATTTTAATACATTTTATTATAATATATCACATACCTATATTGTCTGTATGTGAAACCATATATACGTCTTACAGATTACAGTATTAATAAATATTAATTACAAAAATTGTTTTAACTTTAAAACCTTTATTATTTTTATTATTACTCACTTAAACGTCACAAAGCTAAATAGAAGAATATACGAAATGATTGTAATACCTACAGTAAAAAAATAATACATACATACAGGACATTTTGGAAAACTTATATTTACATAGATTACGTAGGTACATCGTAATGATAAATTATATTATTCACTTTCATAATCAGATGCACTGTCGTCGTCAATAGAATCATTTAAATCAATCCCTAATTCTTCAGTAATCACATATATGCGACGTTCACTTACCAAATACTTTCAATCTTGACAACATGTTCACATACCATCTTCCAGTTATCTACAGTTACTTTAGCAAATTCCTGTTCCAACAACACTTTTACGTCTTCTAACTTAAAATAAACATTTGGTTTGCAACTTCATTTTTTATTTGCGCCCAAACCATTCCTATAGGGTTCAAGTCTGGATGATATGGCGGAAGTTTTAAAGAAACATATCCACATTCTCGCAGCACTATTTCAAATTTATATTGAATATGATCTTGTTTGTGTCTTTTGATGATTTCATACAATTGCGGTTTTAACATTGACGTTACAAATGGTAATTTTTTTTCTGTCAACCAAGATATATTTTTTATAATTACTGGTGGGTGTTTTATTAATTTGTAGATTATGATATGGCGCATTATTAGTAACGACAACAGACCCAACAAGCAAATTGGGGATTAACTGTTCTTTCATCCATTTTTCATAATTTTCTGAATTCATATCATCATGATAATCTCCTCTTAGCTCCTGACTTAGAAATTAAAAGGGCATTCTATATGAAACCCATCTTCCCACCACTATGTACGATAACCAACCTACTTCCTTTTGAAACGTTTTTGAACAATCCTTTACCACTGTCATCTGTCCAACTATTTGGTGTAGTATGTACATAGGTTCCATCAACGTAGAGCACAAATATCATTCCGTTTAATTACTAGACGTCGATTATCTTTCGTCTTCTTCCATTTAAATGCCAAATCTTTCATAATTCTGTAGAGAGAACTCACACTTCCAGTCCACTCGTATACTTTTTCAAGCCTTTTCTGCAAAAGCTTCAATGATATACGACAACGTTTAGTCTCATGGAAATGATGAATGGTATTTCTAATGAACTGTTTGTCATACTCCGTCAAGTCTGTCACGGTTGATTTGCTTTTAGCAAGTATTGTAGCTGGAAATTTTAGTGTATTATTTTACTCTGCGTTTGTTAAAATACCCGCTTGTTGAATGATCCGTTAAACTGTGCGTAAAGATACTCCAGTAGCTTCACTCACACGATGTTTAATACTGGTTCGATTATCTTTAAGTCAATTATCTTATCGAAATAGTATTTGCAAATATTTAAATACATTGTATACTATTCCTTTGGATTCTGGTGTTAATCTGATCTGTTTACTCGTACTACAATTCTCGGAACTAATTCTTATCAATTCTTTGTACATCCTTAACCAGCCGTTAAGGAGTCATTAATAATTACTTTATAATTACGATTACTAATACTAAATTAGAAATTAACTTTTATTCAACTTTTTAGAGTATCAATTATTAAAGATGGTATTGTAACAAACAAAAAGTTTTATTATTTAAATGAGTAATAATTTTGTAATTCGTGCGATTTCCAATAATTTAATTTAATATTGCAATGCCACGGCATTAGTTTGATCATATATATATTCTATTATCTGCGCAATTAACTATTTCATGAAAGGGTTCGCCACTCGATTTGAAATAAGCTGTACTATTGTTGACTACTGATTTTGATGTTGACTACTGAACAGGATTTAGCATGAGGTTTTTTTTCTAGGGGGTCCACGTTTATTATCGATTTTTCTTTTCTTTGTATTAGTTGGAGAATGTTGTATCCATTTTTTTCTTATAACATGCCTGAAATATTCGTGTTTCCTGGTTTTTATGGTATTCAAAACTAGTTCTTTTCACGTTCCAACATCATAGACTTTGGCATTTTATCACTATAATTATGCGGCGGTAAAATCGCATTTCGAAAGCCTGTATACGTTTGCATGTTGATTTCATAACACTCCATACCTTGGCACCATACAGAAGAATTAAAAACTCGTAGCATCGAAGCACTTAAATTCTTGTCTGGAAATCGAGATCCATGCAGCATAATACGCTTTTACACGCGATTGAATGCATTTTTGGGCTTCTCTATTCTAGATTTTATTTCTTACGAATGGCCCAATGAATACCCATTTAAGTTACATCTGAGATAAGAGACTCGTTATGTCTGTGACAGGTTGACGTTAGTATAGTACTGCGATTCTTGTAATAAACTACAATTTTATTAATATTTTATAAAATTTGATATATTTTGTATGTAAAATGGTAGTTAATTCCCATAAAATATAGTTAATGAAAAATTCCATAAAAAAATAGTTTCAGAACCATATTAGTATTAAATTATATAGACGTTATTTTTACGTAAGAATATAGGTACGTTCTTTACATTTATATATACACCGGTTTGTTAGGCATCCGGCTCTTCCGGTAGGGATCTATGCAGGATATGGAAGAGTATCACCAAGTACTACAATACTACGTTGGCCTTTTTATTTATTTTTTGTACACCAGGCCAGTATCCGAAAAATCCCACTTCCACTAGAGTTGATCACCTGCTCCGCTTGGATATTTGACCGACCTTTTTTTCCAGTTTCATAAAAACCCATACCCCTTGAATTCAATTAAGTTTCATACGACTTACTTACACCAACCACCCGATATATTATTCTTTGAATGCTTTCCGCACTATTAACCAATAATACTGTGTCATCTGCATATATTAGGTTAGAATGATACTTCCGTTTATACAGATGCCATATTGTATATCTTCAAAGTACCTCCTTGAATAATTCTTGTAGCTCTGTATATTAGGAGTATTTTTGGTTTTTTCTTTCTAGATTCAAATTTGCGTCATTTAGACTGCATTTCTCATAGCGCGCCAGATTAAATATGTATGGTTGGATACAGCGCCGTCACTTTGCAATACTAAGGAAGACATAATTTTTTGAAATCGATATACATCATATATTATCTTCGTACGTTTTACTCAATTAAAAGAAAAAATCTAAATCTAAAACATTTTGCGTCGAATAAGCATTGTTTTTTGAATTTTGGTTGGATCCATTTGAAAAAACCATGACAAGTGGACCTTATATTAGTGATTCATCATTATCATTCTGGCTTTACAACCCTGCCTAACTAAGACTGCCTCTAACTTCCCAAAGAATTTTTCTTCAGTCGTCCCTATCCATCACCTTCCCCCACCTAGAAAGTATTCCCATATTTCCTATGTCTTCATCGATGTTATCAAAGTACCTTGTTTTGGGTTTTTCTCTTCTTCTCTGACTAATGGGTCTATCGAGGAGCATTTTTCTAGCTGGATCATTTTATTCCATCCACATTAAATGCGCTATCTACCTAGACGTCCTTATCTTAATATATTTTACGATATCTGATTAGTGTATTCCTATATTATTATATATATACAAATATATATATATATATATATATATATATATATATATATATATATATATATATATACATTTATATATATATATATATATATATATATATATATATATATATATACATTTATATATATATATATATAAGTCAGTGGATTGAGTCAGTTTGAATTCAAAATTTGACAATTTGACAAAGTACGAGAGAGGCCATCTTTACCATGAAAACACAATGGTACTGTTTACGTGGTAGTTTAAAATGGTAAATGGATCTGCTACTTAAACTAGAATACGTATACGGTATATTATCGAATTGAGCTATGGATGAGCAGTACGGCAAGAGATGCGGGATTGCGGCTTGGTGTAACTCACTCCATAAATCTCCACTGGACGAGCGTGTATGCTTAAAAACCGGCATATATAATTATATAACTTCAAGAGTTTGGATTGAATGCTCAGGATATGACAGTTTTTCCAAATCTGTATTTAATCCAAAATTAGTGTTATAACTTTTATCACAGAATAGTATAAAAAAAAACGTACACATCTCTTTCCATCTGTCGGCACATCACATGACCAAAGAGCCCAAGTAAAATGATAAGGAACAGGATCTGATCCCGTATGAACTAGTTTGGCTGGCATCCACGTTTTTCCTTTGTTATTACTAACTTCTACTCTAACAATTTTATTCCCTCCTCCCGAGTAGGCAAAACCTAAAGCAAAAATATTAAATTCATTGGAACATTACTGATAGATCGATTTCTTTACCTTTTACTGGCAGTTTATTTCCTGAAATAACAACAGTTTCTTGATCAGACGGGCTTAATATAGCTGACATGACTGGTAGGTCTTGCACAGGTGATAGCGATGAATAGTCTACATTGTCCAGGGTTACATGAGGGCCAAAATATTTGTAGAGCTGTTGATGCCAATGTGACTGGCATTCTTCTTTTCGAACTTCAATTTTCTCTAAAATACAAAAAATTCATTTAAAATTATAATATTGTCAATATATGAAAAATACACTGTTGAGCATAGTATTGTTATGTTATGTGAACCTACCTTAATATTTGTAAACCTACCTTAACATGGGTGACAGGTGAAGGACATTGACAGCAGACAAGAGGAGAAGAAGATGGCTCGTTAGATATAATCATGTATTAAGTTTAGTTGGTCTTTAATAAAAGATATTAAAAAGAAACTGGTCGTCAATCTTATTAAAAGCCCACAGAGACAACGTAACATGGTGTCAGAAGTAAAAATTCAGGTCAGATTATAGTAACGAGTATTATAATAGTCATACAAAAGTCGAAACATGGTCTAACAGCACGTGGTGATCTGGTTGGTTTTAAAAGAAATTAATTAAAAACGGTCAAAAGGTAAAGTTCAACCATGTCGGAACAAGATTCTATAGAGCAGAATCAACCTGTCGTTGTAAAAATAAAAAGTAACGTGATAGGGAATGAAATTCAACCGTTGTCAATGCAAGGAAATTTGGCACATAACTGGGGAGAATGGAGCATAAATTTCAAAATATTTTTGAGAGCCACAGGTTTAGAGGAAGAAAACGATGCGAGAAAAGTAGCTTTATTATTGCACTATATTGGTACAGATGCAAGAAATATTTACAAGTCATTTGAGTTTAACATGGATACTGTAACATTTCGAGAAGTTGTAGGGAAATTTGAAAAATACTGTAACCCGAAGAAAAATTTAACAGTAGAAAGACATTATTTTCTTACTAGAGTACAGAAAGATGGTGAAACCATTGAAGATTTCATGACTAGTCTAAAGAATTTGAGTTTAACATGTGAATTAGGAATTTTAAAAGAAAGTTTGGTGTGTGACATGTTCATTATTGGTTTAAATCCTAAATACGATTCAATTAAGCAAAAACTATTGCAAGAAGTAGATCTGAAGACAGAAAAGGTATTACAAATTGCTCAAAATATAATTACAACTCAAATGCAAGCACAACAGTTAAATAAAAATTCAGAAGCAGTGGTATACAAAGTAGAGAAGAATAAAGATGGTCCAGGTCCGAATTTTTCAAATCATTCAAGGTATAGAAATGAAGTCCCAGGTCCAAGTTGGAGAAATGATAGTCAAAGGTACAACATAGATGGTACGAACACAAACAGTCAAAGTCAGGTAACAAGTCAGAATTTTAAATCAAGATATAATGGATATGCAAATCAGAGTAAGAATAGTGAAAATAATCAAGCGGTAAGAAAAGTTTGTCAAAGATGTGGTGAAAATCATAGAAATAAATGTCCAGCATTAGTAGCTATTTGTCATTATTGTAAAAAACAAGGTCATTATGCAAAATGTTGTCAAACTAAAAGAATAAATAATATAAATTTAAGAGAAAGTACAGTACAATCATCTAATAATGAAAATGATTCATGTTTTGTTATTAAAACTATTAGTCAGAATAGTATTAATCAGAATTGGTCAATTGTAGTCAGAATCAATAAAATAAATGTAGTATGTTATTTAGATACAGGTGCACAAGCTAATGTGATGTCAATAAAAATTTTTAATGAGGTTAATGTACAAAAGTTAGAACTGATACCTACATGTATAAATTTAAAGTCTTTTTCAAATGATGTCATACCTATAGTAGGAAAAGTAAATTTGTTATGTGAAATTGAGAATAGGTTAGAAAGTATTGAGTTCATTATTGTGAATTTGGAGTGTCAAACAATTTTGGGTCTAGATACTTGTCATAAATTAAAATTAATTAAAAGAGTTGGTCTAGTAAGTCATGAGTCTATAATAGAGAAAAATAAACAAGTTTTTGCTGGTCTAGGTTGTCTACCTAATGTATGTCACTTAGAAATTGATAAAAATATTAAACCTATAATAGAACCGCCAAGAAGGATACCTTTTTCTTTACATGATAAATTAAAAGAAGAATTAAATAGAATGTTGTCTACGGGAGTAATAGAAAAAGTCAATGAAGCAAGTGAATGGGTAAATTCAATAGTCTTAGTCGAAAAAAGTAATAAAAGTTTGAGAGTTTGTCTGGATCCCCGTAATTTAAACAAAGCTATAAAAAGATGTCATTATCCTATACCAACATTTAATGAGATTAGGTCAAAATTAGCAAAAGCAAAATATTTTTCAACACTAGATGCACAGTCAGGGTTTTGGATGATACCATTAGATTTAGAGAGTTCTAAGCTATGCACATTTAATACACCCTTTGGAAGGTTTAGATTTACAAGATTACCTTACGGTATAAGCTGCGCTCCTGAGATTTTTCATAAAGTAATGAATGAAATAGTAGGAGACATAGAAGGAGTTTGTTTATATATAGATGATATTTTAATTTATAGTGAAACTTTGGAAGGTCACAATAAAATACTAGAACTAGTACTAGAAAGGGCAAAACAATTCAATTTAAAATTCAATATGGACAAATGCAAATTTCTATTATCAGAAATAAAATATTTGGGTCATATTTTTAGTGCAGAAGGCATATGTCCAGATTCTAGTAAAGTAAGTGCAATTTGTCAAATGTCTATTCCTAACAGTGGAGCTGATATTAGAAGATTTTTGGGAATGATTAATTATTTAGGTGAGTACATAGATAATTTAGCAGAGCGTACAAAAAATTTAAGGTTGTTATTGAAAAAAAATATTAGTTTTCATTGGACAGAAGAGCATGAAAGAGAATTTGAGTCGCTTAAAGAAATGATTAGTCAAACGCCAGTACTAGCATATTTTGATAACAATTTACCTTTAACATTATCAGTTGATAGTTCACAATTTGCAGTTGTTGCAGTGATTTTACAAAACAAAAAACCTATAGCATATGCATCTAAATCTTTGTCACAGGCTCAGTCAAATTATGCACAAATAGAAAAAGAGTTATATGCAATACAGTTCGGATGTACTAGATTTAAACAATATATTTATGGTAGAAAAGTTCAAGTTGAAACAGATCATAAACCATTAGTCAGTCTTTTTAAAAAACCATTATCTGAGGTTCCAGCACGTTTGCAAAGGATGATGCTAAACTTACAGCTTTATGATTTAGAAGTTAGCTATACTCCAGGAAAATTTCTTTTCATCGCAGATACATTAAGTAGGGCACCAGTAGAAGGTCCAGATAATACTGATAGTGGAGATGAAGAGTTACGTATACATGGAAGTTTATTAACATTAACATTAACAATTTAGCTGTGTCTTCAAAGAAATTAATGGAAATACAGGCAGCAACCAAAACTGATAGAGTTTTACAGTCAATAATAAGATATTATAATGAAGGTTGGCCAAGTTCGAAAAATAAATTGGAAACGGAGGTTAAACCGTATTACAATTTCAATCATGAAATACATGTTGTGGATGGATTAGTCTTTAGAGGAAATCAAATAATAATTCCTGAGTCATTGCGTCAAGTTATATTAGAAATAATTCATGAAGGTCATTTAGGATATGAAAAATGTATTCGACAAGCACGTACGGTAGTTTTTTGGCCAGGCATGTCAGTAGATATAAAGAATAAAGTTGAACAGTGTCCAGCATGTCTTAAATATCATAGATCAAATAGTCCAGAACAACTATTACCACATGAAATACCAACTTTGCCTTGGCAGAAAATTGGTGTTGATCTTTTTTATTATAGTAAAGTCACATATATATTATTAGTAGATTATTATTCTAAATACTTTGAAATAGCGCCTTTAAATAATACTTCAGCAAAAGAGGTAATTAGTACAATGAAGTCTATATTTGCGAGACATGGAATACCATTGATCTTAATGTCTGATAATGGTCCCCCATTCTCATCAAAAGAGTTTCAGTCATTTTTAGTAGATTGGGACATTACTTATCAAAGTTCTAGTCCTTATTATCCAAAAAGTAATGGTTTGGTAGAGAGGACAGTTCAAACTGTAAAAAATATTTTTAATAAGTGTATAGTCAGGCTCTGATCCATATCAGAGAATGTTGCAATACAGAAATACAACGTTAGAATGTGGTTATTCTCCAGCTCAGTTATTAATGTCACGTAATTTAAGAATGAAATTACCTGTTAGTGAAAAAATACTCATACCAAAAACAATTGATAGGAACGAATATAGCAAATTTGTTAAGGAAAAAGAAAGGAAAGTAAAAGAATATCATGATAGGTCAGCTAGAAACTTACCGAATCTCTTTGTTGGAGAAAATGTATTTTATAAAAAGGTTCCATCATCACCGTGGTTACCAGCTACTGTGATAGAAATAGGTCCTTTTCCAAGATCATATGTCGTCAGAACACCTGAAGGTGTACATTATCGTAGGAACAGACAACACATATTAAAGCCTGCCAGTACAATTAGTAGACAAAATAGTGAGGTGATAGTTAAGCATGAAAATAGTACAGCAGCTAGTTCCAATTTGTATGAGGCTCCAAATATGAACAACGATACATCAATTTCAAATCAAAGTTATGACAATTTAAATGTTAACTTAAATAGGTCACATAGACTAAATGTAAGTAATCAATTTTGTACCAGGAGTGGTCGAATTGTAAATAGACCAAAAAGGTTTTCATTTTCAGAAGAGTAATGCGGCAGTGTAGTGTTGCGGGTGGATTTAGGTTGTTAGGATAGTTTAGTTTTTTTTGTTAAAAAAAAAAGGGGCATGTTATGTTATGTGAACCTACCTTAATATTTGTAAACCTACCTTAACATGGGTGACAGGTGAAGGACATTGACAGCAGACAAGAGGAGAAGAAGATGGCTCGTTAGATATAATCATGTATTAAGTTTAGTTGGTCTTTAATAAAAGATATTAAAAAGAAACTGGTCGTCAATCTTATTAAAAGCCCACAGAGACAACGTAACAAGTATTAGGGTCACTCCGTAGATAGATTTTAATTTTGTTTTATTTTTTTTTTAATATTTTGCAAAAGTTCAAAAATTTTAAAATGAATAGAGTCTGCACTCTTAGTTTCATGAGTAATATGAAATAAAATC